TGTTGGCCTTTAGGTGTGTTTTCCAGTCGAGTCTGATTTTGTAAAGTGATGAGAACAACATAGAACTGCCTTGTAAGACGTGGAACTGCCTTACAAGATGAATGCAGATGACTCCATTTTAGAAGCAAAACTAAAGTCTCATAAAATGCAACATAAATGCTGTTTCACCCTGGAGAAGCACAAAAAGTACCAGGAGCCACCCAAGAAAGTCTGGGGAACCCTGATAAGAATTTGGCCAACCACTGCGCCCGCCCTTTTGACTTGGCCGAATGCCTTAGAATTTCCAGGATGAAGTCAAATGGCAGCTGAACTGCCTACACAGACCCAGGTAGAGAGGACTGAAAATTCAGAGAGCTAGGAACCAAGGAGACATCCACTCCTGCTCTCTCCAACTCTACCTGGGATGAATACACTGATGAAGGCAAGGCTTAATGGGACTATGATGCTGAATTAACACGTGTGTGGCGTGTTGCCATTATATTGTTAAAATTAATAATGTGAGCTAACTTTAAGATTGTTAGATTGTTTAATGTGTATTTGCAGTGAATAAACCAAGCATTTGAAAATGTCAAAGAGCGTTAAGTAATTATTGATCACACCGCTCGTGACATAAAGTATATTTGATTTAAAGAGAGATGGGGCAGACAAATATGCGTTAGGGCTAGCAATGCTATAGAAAAGAAGACATTCAAGTGTAATGCTACAGGCTCCACCTTCTCATCCCATTTCTGTCCAGTGCCTACCATACATCAGGAATTCATAGGTGTCACTTCCACTCATGTACTTTGGACATTGTGGTAGTTACATACTTTCATGTCAACTTGTTAAATAGGTTATAGGGTTGGTGTCTAACCTGTCAATCAGGTCACAGCCTGGTCAATGCCTCCTTGTGGGCATGGCCTTTTCACGAGGATTCTGGCAGTTCTCCTCTCTTCCTCCCTGAAGGCGGGGCACACTCTCTCTCTGCTGGACATTCCTGTTGACATGGAGCTATGCTAATGGAAGCCAGAGCCCTGGA